AAGAACAAGGCGCTTTCATCAATATTCTTTGTATTAACTATCATATGGTTTCATATTCTAGTAGCCTGTCATTACTGCAGTAGTTATCGATCAGTTGGTTGAGGTTGGCTGACGTACCTTTAGCCAAGGTCTCACTGGATCCATTTTCTGGGGAGATGGATGTTGATATAAAACAAAGGTTCCATACGAATGATTCTGCCACGTCATGAACTACTGAACATATGACCTTATCTCCTCTGGTTGGATTCTTATAGGAGTTTTCTTTCCGTGCCTCTACATTACTTATTTGTAAAAGGTCCTCTACTGCCTAAAACAGTTACCATAATATCTTCTGGAGTGACTGTGCTCTCCCTGGATAATCACACCGCAAGAGCTGAGTCTGCAGCAGAGTAACACGCAGTATCAGGGTCTACGTAGTTATCCTCCGTGGTGTATTCTTATATAGGATTCCTCCGTGGTGTATTCTTATAGCATGCCGGAAGGTTGAGTGTCTAGATTCATAAATTATATCCCATTCCTCTACCAGGGTGCCTAAGCATTATGTTAAGAAAGACAAAAAAACGAGTCTAAGACAATGAAACCACTGCCAGAACGCCTTTGGGAGACAACCAGAAAATAACGTCGAAGCATGTGCATAAAGTGCATTGTCACGGATAACTGTCCTCCACCCGAATATTATTTTGCAAGCTATTTCTCTATTTATGCCTGTAAGACCTCAGTTTTAAAGGTGAGTCGACAGTTTCAAAAAATCAGATGCTTTCACTTTCAGGTCTGACAGCGCTGTTTCATCTTTCCTCTGACTTGCCGTAAGGCATAATGTGTGTACTTGTTTGCACTTGAAATCTGGCTCACGTATTTATGTGCTCAAAAGACAGATAATAAGTGTAAAATACCTGTAATTAGCTGACACAGCCCTTACTGATTTTACTAGGAATTCAACTTGTCTTTTTCATAACATTTTTTTTTTACTCAGTCTGTTGATATTGTGTAATTCTCCTGTCTTCAGTTACTCTCAGTAACTCCAATTCTAAATTGTATAGAATATACTTTTAAGTATTTATAAGTAGCATCGGTGGTTCAGTGGTAGAATTCTCGCCTGCCACGCGGGAGGCCCGGGTTCGATTCCCGGCCGATGCAATGTTATCAAAATATTTATATGACAATACTTTACCCCGTAAGTAAGGGCGAAAAAATGAAAGCGAGAAGGAAAAACTGTAAGTAGGTTTTGTTCTCCAATTGGAGAGGGTGTAGAACAACGCGAAAATAATCGTTCATTCCAAAGCTACAGCAAGACTTCTGGTAACATCATCAGGCCAACGCGCCACTAAGATTGAACAGACGGTTCTCGGCCCCCTCCTCTACTTTGCTGAGGACTTTCTTTCAATATCCTTGCCTATACATCTATGTTTGTTTCCCTTAGTTATTCCTTTAACCTCCTCTCTGTCAGGGCTTCACCTTCTTCGAGGACCGGAGGTGGAGATTAAAAAGGGAAAAAGTTCCCGTGTTCCTGTGACAGTTTCTGCGTTCTTGAGTAGATGTTTGTATGTCAGTTCCTGTGTCGGCATTCTCGTGTTCTTACAATTGTTCACGTATTAATATTTCAATTGTACTCATTCCCCTTTGTTTCTTCTCGTGTTAGTTCCCTGAATGATACTACATTGAATAATTTCTGCATGACTGTATATACTGATAATATATTTTTTGTTTCGATGACCTTGGTGTAGATTACCACTTGGATGACTGAAATTGAAATTAACCTGGTATTTTTCATGGGTAGTTCATTATAAAACAGTGATAGTTTTAATCAAATAGTTTTTAATGATACATACAAGAAATGAAGATCCTGCTCTAAGCTCTTGGTTCTGTTATTGCCTATGGCATCAACAAGTTTTGAACAATTTGAAACTTTATTTCCTTTCTTGTGTAACGAAGCATTACACACTGCTTCAATTGTAATTTTTCAAAAAACGCTTCTATGACCAGTTTTTTTTTCCCGTTGTCTCTATGAATCATAAAATTATGCAGATTAAGGAACCAAGAGATTTGGTCCCTGCCATGCCTCGCTAGATGTCTCATTTCTTCAAGTCGGTGCTCTGGTCGCAGTTTTCCATTTCTGGTTCAGAATCATGACCTCTGTTAGGCTCCCGGTTGGCAGGACTTACGGAAGGAGTACTCTCTGTTCTTGCACCTTTATATCTACCAGTTGTATATAGTTCGCGGCAGTAGTCCTAAGCAGTGTTTCATAATAAACGATAACGCAGGTAGAACAGTGACCATACTTAGAAAAAATAAGTAATTTGCTCGTAAACATTTCAACGCTGAAAATTAAAAGTTCAACAACGTTTTAAAGGTAACACTTACGTATCCAGAAAATGACGAGAGAGAAATGGGTAGAGAGAGAGAGAGAGAGAGGAGAGAGAGGAGAGAGAGAGAGAGAGAGAGAAAGGAGAGAGAGAGAGAGAGAGAGAGAGAGAGAGAGAGAGAGGAGAGAGAGAGAGAGAGAGAGGAGTGAGAGAGAGAGAGAGAGAGAGAGAGAGAGAGAGAGAGAGAGAGAGAGAGAGAGAGAGAGAGAGAGAGAGAGAGAGAGAGAGAGAGAGAGGAGAGAGAGAGAGAAATGGAGAGTAAGGGAGAAATAGAGAGAGAAATAGAGAGGGAGAGAGAAATAGAGAGAGAGAGAAAGGAAGAGAGAAAGAAAGAGAGAGAGATGGGGGGGATAGAAAGAGAGAGAGAGAGAGTAAAGGAGAAATAGAGAGAGAGAGAGAGAGCAATATAGAGGGAGAGAGAAATAGAGAGAGAGAGAGAGAGGGGGGGGGGGAAATAGAAAGAGAGAGAGAGAAAAAAAATAGAGAGAGAGAGAGAAATAGAGAGTAAGGGAGAAATAGAGAGAGAGAGAGAAATAGAGAGTAAGGGAGAAATAGAGAGAGAGAGAGAGAAATAGAGAGAGAGAGAAAGGAAGAGAGAAAGAAAGAAAGAGAGAGAGAGGGGGGGGAGGAATAGAAAGAGAGAGAGAAAGAGAGAGAGAGAGAGAGAGAGAGAGAGAGAGAGAGAGAGAGAGAGAGAGAGAGAGAGAGAGAGAGAGAGAGAAATAGAGAGTAAGGGAGAAATAGAGAGAGAGAGAGAAATATAGAGGGAGAGAGAAATAGAGAGAGAGAGGGGGGGGAGAAATAGAAAGAGAGAGAGAGAGAGAGAGAGAAATATATATAGAGAGAGAGATAGAGAGAGAGAGAAAGGAAGAGAGAAAGAAAGAAAGAGAGAGAGAGGGAGGGAGAGAGATAGAGAGAGAGAGAGAGAGAGAGAGAGAGAGAGAGAGAGAGAGAGAGAAAGGGAGAGAAAGAGAGAGAAAGAGAGAGAAAGAGAGAGAGAGAGAGAGAGAGAGAGAGAGAGAGAGAGAGAGAGAGAGAGAGAGAGAGAGAGAGAGAGAGAGAGAGAGAGAGAGAGGGAGGGAGAGAGAGAGAGAAAGGGAGAGAGAGAGAGAGAGAAATAGAGAGTAAGGGGGAAATAGAGAGAGAGAGAGAAATAGAGAGGGAGAGAGAAATAGAGAGAGAGAAAGGAAGAGAGAGAGAGAGAGAGAGAGAGAGAGAGAGAGAGAGAGAGAGAGAGAGAGAGAGAGAGAGAGAGAGAGAGAGAGAGAGAGAGAGAGAGAGAGACAGGGAGGGAGAGACAGGGAGGGAGAGAGAGAGAGAAAGGGAGAGAGAGAGAGATGGAAGGAGGGAGGAAACAAACAAAATAACTGACATGGAATACACATAAAACCATTTTTTTTTATATAGACTTATCAGTGCATTTAGTATGCCTACCTAATTCTCAATATTCGGAAACAGTATATAGTTACAAATGATAAAAAATCTGAATCAACGGCAATAGAGAATGCAGGGAAGGCTACACACTATCAACGGTTCCACTTGTTTCCAGTAAAGGCTTCTGGCTGCATGCACGTTGGAGGTCATTCACAGGAAATTCAAACGGATGCCTACTTGAACGGTCTCTTGGAGCTCGACACTTGCCATTCATTATAAATACTATCACGACCTGTCTCTGGATCAGAACGACAATCATGACGTCGTGTCAATGCGCACTACAGGGTTAGACGATAAATATGTTATGCTCTCGTTATGAATCTATTGATTTCAGTTGGATTTTGAAGGCTATTTATATTCCTACACACGCGCACACACAGCGTGGTAGTATGTGTGTACATATGTATTTATATGCATATGTGTATGTATAATCTATATAATATATAAATACATACATTCATATCCATACATGCACACACACACACACACACACACACACACACACACACACACACACACACACACACACACACACACACACACACACACACACAGATAAATATGTATATATATATATATATATATATATATATATATATATATGTATGTATATATATATATATATATATATATGTATATATATATATATATATATATATATATATATATATATATATATATATATATATATGTATGTATATATATATATATATATATATATATATATATATATATATATATATATATATATGAACACATCTAAATCTATCTTTCCATCTATATAGATAAAAATGTAAATGTAGATTTAGATATTTCGAATTCCATACGGCGCATATTAAGAAATAATGCATTCAACCATCAAAATATTGCATGTACCAACATATTGCCATGTTAAACTGGTGTCATTTACTAAACATCTATCAAAAGGTGTCATGTTATAAAGAGTCCTTTGCATAAAAACGATCGGTTTAAATGGAAACAGCGACAGGTGTATTGCCAGCTCTCTATTTTCAGAATCGCCTTAAAATTCGCTTTATTTGTGACCATTCATTATTGCGATGTATTGTGCAATGGTAATCTTCTTTTGAATTTATTTACAGATCTTATAAGTTTCCGATATACAATAATCACAAAATCTTACAGTAAATAGATTTTTAAGTAAATAATGTGAAGTAATGTTTTGGTCGCAGTTGCCAGCGACGGTTCAAAAGGAACGTCCGGCAGTTCGCGCGGCGGCCCTTCACGTGCGGCGTTCAAAAGCCAGGGCGCGTCGGGGCGGTTTTCGCAGGATTTCCGAGATGGGAGGCGGCAAGAGCGGCGGCGGCAGGAGCGGGATACCAGACAGGTAACCAGGGATGCTTGTGTTCATGTTTAGACAGAAGTGGGTGTCTGTTTGAACGCGGACGGGGGGAAGAGGCTCCTCGGGACGCGTGCGGCACAGGTAACGACCATAACATGTCGTTGTGCGCTCATATTGGAGGTATAGTTGAATAAACACTTATTTTATTAATAGTTTTCAAAATTGTTATCTAACCAGGAAAAAGTGAACTGTTTTTTCTCTGAAATTTTTAAATCTAGCACCAATGATTGTCGTTGTAGTGTAACATTGTAATCAAGATTTACCTGAACAGAAGTAATTATTTACAGAAAAGAAAACAAATCAGAAATCCTCAATATTTCATCAACCAATTTGATATTGTGTGTCTAGGAGAATTGCTCTCGATCAGCCTTGGTTCACCTTATGCATCTGCATTTAAGTGTCAGTAATTCTTTACAGTACAGACACACTTGCCAGAACTAAGCCCCCAACTCCACGTCACAAACTTTATTTAATAATCCAAGTTGACGCGGTTGGCCGGGCCCTTTGGGCACTACCCGAGGGGAGGGTTGACAGGGAGCTCTGCCTCCCAACACCCTCCAGGGAACATTGTCTTCACCTCGACATACGCGGCAAGATAGAGCTGAGGCTCAGGAACACTGAATGAACTTAGGCTGTGAGCTGTATTTTCCGCAACCTTTTCCTGATAATTGTGCTGTCAGCAGTTTGATTATTAGGTTGACGACTGCATGTTTTTATCGTCTACAAGAATATCATCATCAATTTGTCTTAGCTTAGTGCGTCTGTACTGTAAAGATTAGCCTAATTGTCAAATAAGTCAGTACCTGTATAGAAGGGTTTTGTCGCCATTTCACCATATGTGGTTGTGAAGGAAAAGCATTGCCATTGGTAGATGAATTCAAAGACAAATTTCATAAATTGGTTTTATCCTTATATTGTTTAGATTATTATATGTCTATTGTAAGCATTTAAATATTGTATTACAAATAGATTTTTCTAAATCACTTGTGATGCTATAATGTTAAACTACATATATATGGGCTAATTAGTAATTAGTAGGTGGTTGGGGGCAAAGCCTACAGGTTAGGAAGGCTTTTATTCTTATGGCAATCTCTGTGGTCGTTTGTGCATTTAAGATAGGGTTCATGTGTTTGTTAATTGGAGTTGGGGGACGTATGGCCGATTTGTTAAAATTGCGCGAGGCCCAATCAATGGATGTTCATATAGTTGTACATGTTTATACACAGACATACATATCTATCAGTCTTCTGATAGATATATAGTTATCCATCCACTAGTCTGATTGATAGGCATATGGAGAGTGATAAATATGCATTGATTTCTTTGTAAATATGTGAATATTCATTGGGTTGGCCCTCTCACAATTTTAACAGTATTTTTGTAAACTTTTACCTTTTTTGTGAGAGAAGACCATCAAAAATTATGAATTGTCTGTACTAGTTTGACCATTCAGTATACATTGTAATTTAAACTTATTATCTGTGATGAGAGGCCCACAGTCTGATGCATTAATAGTGCAGTAAAAAGAAACTGCCTCATCTGTTGACATTTCAGCAAAGGCAACACAATTCCACCACATACATACCAGCATTATATAGTTTTGAGTAGTTCCTTATTGGACAGTATATCACCAGCTTATGAAGGGACAAATGAATGAACCTCATCCTGAATATATAAACTACCACAAACCAAAAATCTTCCTAATCTAGGGGCTTTGCACCAGACCCCCTACCAATTGTCATATTTCCCTAGCTGGGGGCTCTGTCCTTTGATCCCCTCCCAGTTATCATCTATCCTTAGCCAATGTTGTCCTGTTGTATAAATCAAGCCCAATGTGCATGGGCCAGTGATGGATGGAAGGATATTTTGAAAAGCTTTACCAAAGAAAATAGTCAGATACACTTACAGGCCACAGTGAATTGCCTTTTTATATTAACCCTCAATGAATTTGTAGATTTTAGGCATTCTGTACAGATGATGTTATTGTTATTATTATTATTATTTTTTTAAAACCTTAAAACAAAATATATAAGGAGATGAGTTAATAACCAGAAAGGAAGCATTTAGTAACACTATCAGGCACAAAGAATGATCTACAAGATATGCCTAACACACACAACAGGAAGTTAAATCAATAAATATTTTATATTGGGTATTGCATACATACATATTTATATACATATATATGTATATACACACAGACATATGCATATGCATATACATATATATACAAATAAATATATATACACATATACATACATAAATATACATATATACATACATAAATATACATATATACATACATAAATATACACACCTATACATACATGCATATATATACACAAACATGCATAGATATATATGTATGTATACATATATAAATACATATATATGTTCATATGTATGGATGTATGCAGATATACAGACATACAAATATATATATATATATATATATATATATATATATATATATATATATATATATATATATATATATATATAAACATATAATATATTATATATAAGTATATATATACACATACAGACATACAAATATATATATATATATGTATATATATATGTATATGTATATATATATATATATATATATATATATATATATATATATATATATATATATATATATATATATATATATATATATATATATATATATATATATATATATATATATATATATATATATATATATATATATATATATATATATATATATATATATATATATAATATATATATATATATATATATATATATATATAATATATATATATATATATATATATATAATATATATATAATATATATATATATATATATATATATATATATATATATATATATATATATATATATATATATATATATATATATATTTGTATGTCTGTATATCTGCATACATTCATACATATGAACATACATAAGTATGACATTAAAGCTGTGGTTCAACAGTCTTTATCTCTCTGGAACTCAACTCAAGTCTAAAATTATATCAGTTTTGGCAAGGGCAAGGAGTATTATCTGAGGGGCTAGGAGTGGCAAACCTAGATTCTGCTAATGTTTTTCACTGACAGTGATGATCCATAGTCTGGAACCCCTCAGAAGTTTCTTAATCATAATCATGACATTATTAAAACATTTTGAAGTCCAATTAAAAGCACCAAGCCCAGAAAAGATTAATTGTAAAGTAACCAAAAAGGGAAACTTAGCAGCCAGAGGTGGCTCCAGTACAGGTGCTCTCTCTGATTAATGGAGATGACACTTAAGCACTTCTGGAGCCTCCTTGTATCTAAAAATATATATGTTAATATTTTCATAGATTGGTTTTTATTAAATATAAAAGAAAGAAAGAAAGAATGATAGTCATTTCTGTGTGTATTTTGATTTTCAGTATTTTGTGGTTACACCATATATTTCCTTGAATGGCTATTTTTGATAGTCAAATGGAAAGAAACAAATATCCTTATTTGTGCTGCAAACACAGTGAAAATTAATGACAATTGATAATGATGAAATACCTCTTCAGATACAAATATAGTTTTTTGTATAAATATTTAGGTATGATTTACAGTACAAATCATAGATTTAATCCATAAGTAAGCAGTATAAAACAAATATTGCATTTTTTTCAGATGGAAGGCATACACTAATATGGGCAGACAGATTCCTGGGACAAGGTTTATTTCATTCAAGGTTCCCTTAAAAGAGGTAAGAACAATAAGCTAAGAAGGACAAATTTTAAAAGCACTGAAGATTTTTATGAATTGTTTGAAGTGCCTTTTCTTCTACTCTTTGTTTTAATGAATTGTCATTTGGATTTCTTATTCTTTGCATACATTGCTTTATGATGACATCTGGTGTTCTTATGTTCAAAACCTCAATGCTCTTCTTCTCTTTTTTGTTTTTTCTCTTCTTTTCTTCCAAGTAATGGTTATCTGTGCTATTATTTTGTATGTTTTTACATGTAACTAACTCCCTGACCAGTCAGTCACTGATGAAATGCTAGCACCTTAAGAGAACAAGTAGAAAATTGCACAAGAGTTGTACTATTTTCAGAAATAAATGAGAGTTGAAAATACAGTTATAGCTTAATTAGTTAATAAAGAATGAAAGGATAGCCAATGTATCTCATTAACCCATTCGCGCCGGGTAAAAATGAACAAAAAATGGGGGAAAATGCCGTGCTCAATTTTTATACTTTTTGTGAAATTTTTCTACACTAGATGGCTCTGCCTTACCTGATTTCATTTGGCGGGAAAATGTATTTTTACTATTACAGTGAATATCGATGGTTATTTTTATTATAAACATTATAATTACTATAATGTTAGTAACAGCAAAATAAGATAACGTATAATATTTTCGTAAATTCAAGAAAAGGGTAAACAGGCGAGACAGGCAGTACAAGTACAAGTGCAGCCATCTATGTGTGAAAACAATTAAACAAGTAAACTCACAGTGGGCCCGTCCCATATACGTGACACCTGGCGTGAATGGGTTAATATTCACATCATTAACCATTACGTCCACCTCAGAAAATATACGTCAGTACATACAGAACTTAGCTTCTCTCAGTTTTGGGGGCGTGGCTGCTTCCCAATGTTCCAGCTCACACATGGGTAATGACACACACAGTATCTGGACCAGACTGAGTATATTTTGTACCGTTTTTGGCAGTATTTATAGTGTTCATGATGTCATGAACTACACATCTTTCATATTTAGAAAACTTGTTTTTTCCTTACAAGTTAAAACATATTTTTTTAGAATGTAAGGAGAAAAGATTAAAAAATTGTCCCAAGTTAAAATAAAATTTCAAAATATCAAACAAAAAGATAAAGGTAAAAGATGACGAGTATAAAATACTTGGAAGATTGGAGATAATGATAATGGAATAAAATATCTATTAAATTGAGTTAAATATAAAATCAAGCAAAATAGACTTTAGAGTCTTAAGGGGACTGTGCCTCAAAATCGTGGTGGCAGGCTAAATATGGGGGGGGACTGGAATTTGTTTCATATCAGTGAAATCCAAATGGTCTAACCGATTTCCTTCAAAATTGGGTATTTTCTTCATTTTAGCATTCTACATCTTTGGTACAAAATTTGTGGAAATTCACAGATTCCCACCTCAATAAACTTTTTACAACATACATCTCTTACATACTGCTATTGGCTCACACTGTTGCATGCTTTGCAATGGAAAAAATCAGCATTTTTTGTAATTATTATTGGTCAGCCAGCTTGATAGTAATCCTCATCTTGATTTAAAAACAATAAATTTCATGGTTTCTAATCTGTTCTCACCCCACCACTCCCCACAAATCATCTTGCTTTACCACACTCCTCAAAACTGCCTTCCCCACTTTTACCCACCCCATATAACATCCCACCCACAAGCCCACATCTCCACCTTCACCCGCACTTACCTCAAACTGACCCTCAACCCAACCCCAACACAGACAATTTTTTTTAATAAAACTTTTCAAATTTAAAATCAGCTTGAGATCCCCTTCACACAGGCTCTGTTGATTCGGCTGGAAGACTCGTTTTGGTTCAGCCCCCGCACACTCATGGACCACTGCGTCGACCTCGGGCTGGTTGTCGACCTCACCAACACGACCCGCTATTACGATCCCAAGGTGGGTGAAGGTACCATGTTCATTGTTCTTGTCACCAGTGGAAAGTCTAAATGTAGGCTTTGTAGATTTAGCTGTCTTTGGTACACTATGGAAGTCCAGTGCATTTGGAATTTGGCTGACATCAGTATTGCTCGTCCAAAACCCTAGTGGCTTTCCCTCCCTCTTTTCTCTCTCTCTCTCTCTCTCTCTCTCTCTCTCTCTCTCTCTCTCTCTCTCTCTCTCTCTCTCTCTCTCTCTCTCTCTCTCTCTCTCTCTCTCTCTTTTACCTTCATTTCATTTCATATATAATATGAGAGTGCATATATGAAAGTTTGCCAAAGCTTTAACATATTACACATAAAGCTATTGGTCGATGGACTCTAGTAGTGAATATTAGAATATTAATAAGGCTATGAAGAAAAAGAAATAAAAAACTAATGTTAAAACAAATGATAACTGATCAGTTAAAACTCTAAAACTCTAAAAATAGTCATTATACACATCTGCTACTGGTTGAGAAGCCAGATGTTGCTGCGATTTAAGTTGTTGTAGAGACATTGCGTGATGGAGGCAGGTGTTCCTGGCCATGTGATTCCACAGGCACCCATATCTTGACCAGAATGAGTGCAGGTGGGACTCTCTCCTGGTGAAGGGCAGTCACATGTGCCCACCACTGGTGTTGTGGCTGGTGTCATGTGGACCGTGAAGGCATAGGCTTGACAGATTTGGAGTGTGTATTATGTTAACCTTCTACATTACACAAAAGCTGCCAATGTTGCTCCAGTGTTGCAATGATTGGAAGTGTGATTGCCTTCACCATCTTCTGAAAATTACCCAGCGAAAGAAGACATGAAGGCGGACAGGCAAACCACACAAGTAGACTACTCTATAAGACTGGGGACTTGTGACTTGTAGAGTGCTGCTACACCAGGCCTGTCCAGGGAATGGGTGATACAATGGATACATCCAAGCTTCCACGCCACTGTCTTTGCCACCTGCTGAACATGTTAATCTGCTATCAAACTCTACTCCGAGGATCTTGATGGAGTCCTGCAGAGACCATCTTTTGCTGTCGAGGAGGATGTTTGGAGCAGACAAGGAGGCTAGATCACTCTGACATGAGATGAGCATTGTCAGTGTCACCTGCCATCTCTGGCTCCAGGCCATTAAAGAAGACTACAAAGAGTGTGGCTGTAGTGTAGAGAGGGATTCGGGAATTAGGTTGAGGTGAGGGAGACTTATTTGCTTACGAAGTGAGTGGCAAGTACCTGGGTCTTTTCTTTACTCATGATTGCAGTGGTTTTATCTGGCTTTGTTAGTGGGGGTATGGTGTCATCCTGAAACCAGCCTTATTGCTGCTTCATACAAGTCCAACAGACTTTGTCAGCATCTATGGCAGTTTTTGTTGCAGGTCTTGTTTTCTTCTGCTCAATTGCCATCTTTTGCAGTTGTTGTGGTTGGTTGGATGCTGCTTGTATCGATGCCAGGCTTTACTTTTCTGGTCAGCAGCAGTACACCCCTGATAACCAAACCATGGCTGATCTGCTTTGCATCTGTATCTCTGACTTGGTATAAAATGTCTTAATATTGGTTACCTGGTCATTGATATTGCCACTCAATATTTTATCCTAGTCCACCTGTCTTAGCTTGTGGTGCGTACTGCCACATTTGCCTTTATTCCAAAGCCAGTTTGTTTTAATTGTACTCTCCTTTCCATACACTTTAGTTATCACCAGTGTGTGAACAGCAAAGTGGTCGAAGGATCCAAAAGTACCCAGTTGGCTACATGTAATTATGTCAGGGCTGAAGTCACTGATGATGGTCAAGTGAGGAACATGAAATTTGGGTGGCAAAACCCATGCACTGTCAGCACCTCATCAAATGCCCTGATGACAGGATATTGGTTTATGATGCAGACAATGATTGCATGGCTGCATTCATATGCTTGTAGAACATCAAGGTGTGACTGCACATAGGTAGGGGGCACTTAACCTTGCCACTGAGGTCTAAAGTATAAATTGGTCAGTACTTTTGTTATGCTATGGTTGTGTTTTTGTAAAATTGTATTGGTTTTCATTCTTGCTCTGGAGGAGAGAATTCTTACCCTGAACATACAATTTTCTTTTTCTTTTCTTTTTTTTTTTCTTTCTTTCTTGGCTTTATATGATAATGTTTATTTTATGTGTGTTTATTTAACTTGCTTCACTTTACAAGATTTCTATTAATAATCAGTGCTCATTGCTTTCAAAACAATATTACATGTTCAACACACAATTGAAGAAACAATTTGAGACACCATGTGTTTGAGAGAAAAAGTTTGCAGCTATTTCCAAGGACTTTATTAAAGAAAGAGAAGAAAAAACTGTTTAAGATATGTTTCCTTGACCTCGTGTTATTAGCATGTTATAAAAGTATATTTGACACATTTCTGTTGTAAAATATAACACAGCTAGACTCTTCTAGTGAAAATAATAGGACTATAGACATGAAGTGTGCCTCTAGCAACCAATTATGGTTTTGGGTTTTGGATTGGTCAGGCAAGCTTAAATGAGACAAAATATCACAGTGCATTGCCTGGAAAAATCCAGCCTGTTGGAACTTTCCTTTCTCTTCCAAAGACAGTTTTGTCATTGGCATTAATATTAGTAGATTAGTAGTTGTAATGTTTTTTGTTATACAGTAGTAGCTATATTAGTAGCTAGTAATTATGCATTATTACTCGTATATAGAATGGAGTGTTTCGATTAATATTGTTTTATTGTCGTCATTTTCAATGTTGTTATTGATATTGTCATTTATTATTATTATTATTATTATTATTATTATTTTGTAGTAATAAAATAATAATTATTATTATTATTGTTAATATTGTTATTATTATAATATGGTAATACTGTTTTGTTATTATTTTTATTATTATGATTATCATCATTATTATTATGGTTTTTGTGATCTTATTTTGTATTACCTTTTTCTCCATATTTTTTTGTTATTATGTAACATACGAGTTATTGTTTTTGGTTGTAACTAATGTCGGCCATAGTTTATTCAGTAAACATTTTTACAGTTTTGATTATTAAAATAGATCTATCACAAATTTACTGTGTGATTCAGGAAGATTATTATTGCCCTGATAGTGTTATGATTTACAGTATCACATAGTATCATAGCATCTACTTTAGTAGTCTCAGCAGTAGTATTAGTGGCAGTATTATTATTCTAAGGATTTGGTAATGTTGCTTGTTCTGTTGTGGTTATCATTACAGTTGTTGGTAATGAGGTTCTGCTCTGACCTAACCCATCTTGCTTTGTGGCATGTTGCAGGAGTTCGTGGACCAGGGCATCCAGTATGCCAAGGTGTTTACAGAAGGCCACAAGATCCCCAAGGATAAGGTCGTTAAGGAGTAAGTAGCCAAGAATATGCAGTCATTTGTCCTTTTCAAGGTGCTATTATTATGACAGCCAAGAATAGGCGTTTTAAGCACATTTTATGTGATTTTGTATATGCCTATGTATAATGTGATGTGCATGTATGTATGTTCATATATATATATACATACGTATATGTGTGTGTGTGTGTGTGTGTACATATATATATATGCATACACACACATACTGTATATATAATGTTATATATATATATATATATTGTATATACATTATATATACATTGTGTGTGTGTGTGTATGCATATATATGTACACACACACACACACACACACACACACACACACACATTCTTTTCTTTTCCGTTTTCTTCCGTCTTTCCTTAGGGTATGTATCTTCCAGTGTCCGGTTCTTCTGATAAGCTTATAAATGAACATCAGTGTATCCTGAATGTATTGTTCAGCATTTTTGTGTAACTTTCAGTTCAGAAAAATACGCCTTTGATTTTTTTTCTCGTTCTAAAACTAATCTGCGGAAGTGTGATGTAAGAAACAAGTATATATGAATGTTAAATGCACTCGAGTTCTTAAGTAGCGTTTATCTCCCGCAGGTTTTGCAAGGTGGTCAACACTTTCCTTGACAAGAACAAGGACAATCGTAAGTTGATAATTGTATTTTTCTTTTCGTCCTCCTCCATCAACTTCATCTCTCTTTTTTTCATTTTTCCCATGAGCTCTGGCAGGGTTTCTGTCTTGGTAGGAGGTAGAGAGACCGCTGCTGCTTGCAAAAGCTTGCGTGAACTGGAAACTGCGTGCATGGCCTTTTCGATGTGCTCACACGGGTATCTCTGTTTTGTTTACTTTTAAGCAAATGTGTGTGTGTATCCTTACTGTTGTGCAGCGTTTATCCTCCCCACATGCACACTTGTGCGACCTTGGCACATTGGTGTGCGTAGGACCACGTGGCGAATGTTGGTCCGTCATGTGATCGCGTTCGGTCCAGACTCCCTGGCGCTCCTGAAAGTTATTTTTAGATTGAGTTTTTTCTGTCTTTCTTTCTTTTCTTCCCTCGAGTAATCTTGTACTGTTCACTGTCTCGTGAAGTACATGACCGTCTGGTGTATTTTCTTTTCATGAACTCATTTGCCACGTCTGCCAGCTCGGGTCTCTGCGGCAGGCGTTGAGGGTACTCTCTCATATACACACGAACACGGTTTGCATTCACGTGTGGGGACGTGTGCGTTCTTTTCTGTTCCTTTTGACGTCTGATAGATAGGTATAAGTACATAGACATGTGCATACATGTACGTACATATGGAGCATGATGCCCCTCCCCCTGCCTCCCGATCGAAGCCGTGGCACCGTCAGTTCCCGGCGAGGCCTCCCGCTGAGCTGAAACACTGCCAGACGTCCTTTGAACATTATTCATCAAATAAGCCTAGGCAGCCTGCTGTGGATGCGGCGGTCCAGCTCTGAGACCCCCCCCCCCCCTCTCTCTCTCTCTCTCTCTCTCTCTCTCTCTCTCTCTCTCTCTCTCTCTCTCTCTCTCTCTCTCTCTCTCTCTCTCTCCTCTCTCTCCTCTCTCTCCTCTCTCTCTCTCTCTCCTTTCTCTCTCTCTCTCTCTCTCCTTTCTCTCTCTCTCTCTCTCCTTTCTCTCTCTCTCTCTCTCTCCTTTCTCTCTCTCTCTCTCTCTCCTTTCTCTCTCTCTCTCTCCTTTCTCTCTCTCTCTCTCTCTCTCCTTTCTCTCTCTCTCTCTCTCTCTCTCTCTCTCTCTCTCTCTCTCTCTCTCTCTCTCTCTCTCTCTCTCTCTCTCTCTCTCCTTTCTCTCTCTCTCTCTCTCTCTCTCTCTCTCCTTTCTCTCTCTCTCTCTCTCTCTCTCTCTCCTTTCTCTCTCTCTCTCTCTCTCTCTCTCTCTCTCTCTCTCTCTCTCTCTCTCTCTCTCTCTCTCTCTCTCTCCTCTCTCTCTCTCCTCTGTCTCTCTCCTCTCTCTCTCTCCTCTGTCTCTCTCCTCTCTCTCCTCTCTCTCTCTCCCATTCCCGTTCCCATTCCAAAACCAGGGCGGCCTGATGAATATAGACCAATTTCTCTGATGTCCTGCCTGTCAAAAACCTGTGAAAGAATTCTCCTCACATTTACTCCATAAGATCAAAGACATGATCCATCCATCTGTCTTTGGCTTTCAAAAAGGGAGAGGAACACAAATGTGTCTAGCACAGTACCTAAATGGACGTAATGCACAGTCTTCTTACTTCATAGACTTTAAGGGAGCATTCGACAGAGCCTCCCCTACTGCAATCCTCCATGAACTAACTCTTTTAGGAGTTTAGGATAAAGGATTATCTATCTTTGAGAAGAGCAAAAGTGTGGTATCAAGGCATCTGTAGTGCTTATGGCGAATTGGAATTAGGCACTCCACAAGGGGGAGTGCTTTCCCCAACACTGTTTAATATACTTATGCACTCTCTTTGCAAGCTCAATAATGAGTTAGGAAACCTATGCAGCATCACATCCTATGCTGATGACATTCTTATTCAGGTGTTTGATAGGGGGGATTACGTTCTCCAAATCTCGTAGATTACCTTGCATTCCAAGGTTAGGTGGACAAACTATTGCAAGAACTGACACCTACAAATATCTTGGTGTTATGGTGGCTGCTACCCACCTCATGTCCCATAACTCACGCTTTGCTAAGAATATTGTTCAAAACATCAAGGAATGTTGCCTTGAACGTTTAAGACCATTGCAATACATTAGTAACAGATATGTAGGTGGCTCCCTGAGAGTCCTAAGGTTGATGTATATCTCCCTTGTTAGGTCCATGATAGACTATGCAAGCCTAGTTCTTAGTATGCTGCCACTGAGTGCCCTCAAACCCCTTGAAGTTTTACAGAATAAGGCCATGAGAATTATACTTGGATGCCCAATGACAGCTAAAGTTCTCATCATGAGGAAAGAGTTAGACCTCCCTTCTATTCACAGTCGTGTCATCCAAGTTAACACCATACTTGGCATTAGTCTCCTGCAGCTTCAACCCAGACCACAAATCTCCAGTATCCTATCAAATGAGATAAATTATAGAGTCAGGCATGTCCGGCCTCGATACTCCAATCTCATACAGTCCAACTTAGAATGGAAAACTAAAACTTCTCATACTATCATGTTCTTCAATGTATGGAACAACGAAGCTATTAATATTCCAGATACAGTACTTACTGCTCCTTGGCACAGAACTCATGTATGTGCTCATATTGATAAACTAATAGGGTCTAAATCTATGGCTTCAAAAACGGAACTAAAAGCTCACTACTTGGAATATATAGATGGCATTCTACATCCCCCTTATGGTACGCCCCCACTTGCAATCTACTGTGATGCCTCCACTGGTCCTCATGGGGCAACAGGGATTGGTGTGCTAATTCCTGATATAGACCTTGAAGAAAGTGAGTGCATCTCCAACTGGGCAAGCACAACTGATGCCGAGTCAGTAGCTATATACCATGCCATTAAGAAAGGTAGTGAACAGCAGCGAAACCTGGCTGTCTTTACAGACAGCCAAGGCGCTCTTAACAGGCTTACTGCATTTACTCCAGAAAACATGGTAACTAAGAATATCCTTCACCAAATTTCTAAATTATCAGAACGGGGTACCCAAGTGTCATTATACTGGATACCTTCTCATATAGGAATATCACTATGTGACAGGGCTGATCAATTAGCCAGGTTAGCATTTTCCCATGAAGATCCATACTATGTAATACCGCTATCTCTCAATCAAATGAAAAAACGAGTTATCAACTGTCTTAGAGATTATGAGGATCAGGTATGGACCAATGAAAAAATGAAAAAAGACGGACATGGTACTATCTGGCACTACAAGAGTATTGTTGGGACATTAAATTTAGACAAGCCCTATAAAGTCTATTACGGACTGTCTCGGAGACAACAGGTTACATTAACTAGGCTATGCATAGGATATCAGTACAGGATGCAGTTTTGGATGCAAAACCTGTTTCATATCACCATTGCAAACTGTGCAAGGAACCCAAGTCGCATAATCTCACTCATTACTTACTCTGCTGCATAAAGACTGCATTCTATCGATCAAATAGTGCTGTTCACAGAATAGCGCTTGTTGATTATATTAACTTTATTATAGACACTGGTCTTGTCTTTGACATGATTAGTGATATAAAAGTTTTTTTACCAGTCAGATGATATATTAATATTGTGATAATAGAACAGCCCTTCAGGCATGTATGTAACACTAATGTTTGACCAATGGCCCTCTACACAAATAGAAGCACAGCCAGTTTGGATAGATGCTTTGGTACCTTACCCTGGCTTTTTGCAGGGCATGTACACTGTTCTGTAAATAAACGTTATCAAATCAAATCAAAATCTCTCTCCTCTCTCTCTCTCTCTCTCTCTCTCTCTCTCTCTCTCTCTCTCTCTCTCTCTCTCTCTCTCTCTCTCTCTCTCTCTCTCTCTCTCTCTCTCTCTCCTCTCTCTCCTCTCTCTCTCTCCTCTCTCTCCTCTCTCTCCTCTCTCTCTCCTCTCTCTCTCCTCTCTCTCTCCTCTCTCTCTCTCTCTCTCTCTCTCTCTCTCTTTTCTCTCTTCTCTCTCTCTCTTTTCTCTCTTCTCTCTCTCTCTTTTCTCTCTTCTCTCTCTCTCTTTTCTCTCTTCTCTCTCTTCTCTCTCTTTTCTCTCTTCTCTCTCTCTCTCTCTCTCTTTTCTCTCTTCTCTCTCTCTCTCTCTTTTCTCTCTTCTCTCTCTCTCTCTCTTTTCTCTCTTCTCTCTCTCTCTCTCTTTTCTCTCTTCTCTCTCTCTCTCTCTTTTCTCTCTTCTCTCTCTCTCTCTCTTTTCTCTCTTCTCTCTCTCTCTCTCTTTTCTCTCTTCTCTCTCTCTCTCTCTTTTCTCTCTTCTCTCTCTCTCTCTCTCTTTTCTCTCTTCTCTCTCTCTCTCTCTTTTCTCTCTTCTCTCTCTCTCTCTCTTTTCTCTCTTCTCTCTCTCTCTCTCTTTTCTCTCTTCTCTCTCTCTCTCTCTCTCTCTCTTTTCTCTCTTCTCTCTCTCTCTCTCTTTTCTCTCTTCTCTCTCTCTCTCTCTTTTCTCTCTTCTCTCTCTCTCTCTCTTTTCTCTCTTCTCTCTCTCTCTCTCTTTTCTCTCTTCTCTCTCTCTCTCTCTTTTCTCTCTTCTCTCTCTCTCTCTCTCTTTTCTCTCTTCTCTCTCTCTCTCTCTTTTCTCTCTTCTCTCTCTCTCTCTCTTTTCTCTCTTCTCTCTCTCTCTCTCTTTTCTCTCTTCTCTCTCTCTCTCTCTTTTCTCTCTTCTCTCTTCTCTCTCTCTCTCTCTTTTCTCTCTTCTCTCTTCTCTCTCTCTCTCTCTTTTCTCTCTTCTCTCTCTCTCTCTCTTTTCTCTCTTCTCTCTCTCTCTCTCTTTTCTCTCTTCTCTCTCTCTCTCTCTTTTCTCTCTTCTCTCTCTTCTCTCTCTCTCTCTCTTTTCTCTCTTCTCTCTCTCTCTCTCTTTTCTCTCTTCTCTCTCTCTCTCTCTTTTCTCTCTTCTCTCTCTCTCTCTCTTTTCTCTCTTCTCTCTCTCTCTCTCTTTTCTCTCTTCTCTCTCTCTCTCTCTTTTCTCTCTTCTCTCTCTCTCTCTCTTTCTCTCTTCTCTCTCTCTCTCTCTCTCTCTTTTCTCTCTTCTCTCTCTCTCTCTCTTTTCTCTCTTCTCTCTCTCTCTCTCTTTTCTCTCTTCTCTCTCTCTCTCTCTTTTCTCTCTTCTCTCTCTCTCTCTCTTTTCTCTCTTCTCTCTCTCTCTCTCTTTTCTCTCTTCTCTCTCTCTCTCTCTTTTCTCTCTTCTCTCTCTCTCTCTTTTCTCTCTTCTCTCTCTCTCTTTTCTCTCTTCTCTCTCTCTCTCTTTTCTCTCTTCTCTCTCTCTCTTTTCTCTCTTCTCTCTTCTCTCTTCTCTCTCTCTCTTCTCTCTTTTCTCTCTTCTCTCTCTCTCTCTCTTCTCTCTCTCTCTCTTTTCTCTCCTCTCTCTCTCTCTTTTCTCTCTTCTCTCTCTCTCTCTTTTCTCTCTCCTCTCTCTCTCTCTCTTTTCTCTCTCCTCTCTCCCTCGTTTCTCTCTCCCTCTTTTCTCTCTCTCTCTCTCTCTCTCTTTTCTCTCTCCTCTCTCTCTCTCTCTCTTTTCTCTCTTCTCTCTCTCTCTCTCTCTCTCTCTCTCTCTTTTCTCTCTTCTCTCTCTTCTCTCTCTCTCTCTCTCTCTCACCTATTTCCTCGTCTGCCCCCTTCCCTCACTCGCTCCTTAATCTCCAAGCTGATTTTACAACCAGCTGCCCGGTGCCCTGTGTCCCGCTAAAGTGCCGTTTTGTATCGTCCCGCAGAGAAGCTGATTGGCGTGCACTGTACCCACGGCTTGAATCGGTCCGGCTACATGGTGTGCAGGTGAGTCACTTCCCGCGTGCCTCTAATGGGCGCCGGACATGCGATGGCCTTTTCAATTTTTTCGCTTGATAAGCTTGGCAATTACCTTTTTTCTACCGTAACTGTTTTATATCATTGGTGTTATTAGTATTAGTATTAGTGTTATTGTTATTATTATCGATTTAATTTACTCCCATTATCTCTGTTATCAGATTTCCATGAAGATTTTTCCAATTATATGTTTGTATTTGTATTATTTAATCGGTCAATTGTGTTTTATCAATAAATAGATAGCTCTTTTAAATGCGCATTTAGCTTCAATTTTGCATTATATTTGGATACCATTCATCTATTCCATGTGCCTTGTCGTGTTATCACTGCTTGTGAACGAGAGATGATCGGCCACGAGAGGATGCTGGCTAAGAGCGCCAGCAGCATCGGTCTGCGCGGGCGAGTGCTAGAAGGGCATTTTGATCGTCAGTCATTGCAGTCTTGCTTGTATCGTGATCTGTGACGGCGTCGGGCGAGCAGGTGGAACATCAGGCGGGGAGGAAAGAAGGGAGGGAGAGGAGAATGCGGGAGGAGGAGGAGGAAAAAGGGGGCGAAGACAGAGTGAAGGATGGTACTGGAGGGGAGGGCAGAGAGGAGGGAGAGAGGCAGAGTGGAGGGAGAGAGGCAGAGAGGAGGGAGAGAGGGAGAGAGGGAGGGGGCACGAGAAGAAGAGGAAAGGAGAGAGAAGGAGAATGTAGAGAGGGTTCGATGGCCCCCTGGAGTTCCCAAGCCGAGCCAAGAACTCATACGGTCAAATTATTAAACGTTCCCGCGTCGCGGGCTTTCCCCAAAGCCAGCTAACTCCGCACTTTTCGAGTACTGTGTGGACGGGTACCCGGGACAAAATATAAATTGTCGGGTATTTTCTATTATATTTTTAGGCAAATATTCAGGGTCTAAAGTTCGAATATGAGTACTGGTTTGCAATCATTAATGAAATATGGATATAATGATAGAAATGGGAAAACGGGTAAAGGGAATAGATATTCCCACTGTACGATCATTAATGAATATAGGGTGAGGATGATATAAATATTTGTCGCAGGCACTCACTCGACTGCGACACACCCTCTCGCCTCAGTAATCGTCTCAACTTCGGTTCCGGGTTCATCGCGCGGCGTGCGCTTGCGGGTAGTGCCTGCCGTGTATCAGGGTAATTACCCGGTAGTGATCCCAGGTATCTCGGGTAGGCCAAGCCGGGTACCCGAACCCGGGATTACTTAAAAACTCGTACTTAACCCATCACTAAAACATATCGATGCTTGTGTTAGAGATGGAAGTGTGTGTGTGTGTGTTTGTTTGTTTTGTTGTCTCGGGGAAACTTCAAGTTTGTTATTATCCGTGAAATTTCGACATACAGCCTTTATGAATAATAAAATCAGCAGCATTCGATTAGATTAAGATTAGATGAATGAAAACTCATGTTGGTAACTCCCGGACGAGCAAAGGTTTTGAAAACGATTGTGAATATGACAGTTGTAAATGACAGTTGGCGTTCCAGTAATCGACACTATTTTCCTCCAAAAAACGTTCTATAAATGAGGCCGTAAGTCGTAATTAACCCGATGAGCGCGGGTGACAAGACTGCAATGCAACGCCCACTGTAATAAGTGTTATATATTGTCATTATATATAGATGGCTCTACAAGGTGTTTTGATAATATGGCCATGGATTGCGGGCCAGTACCAGCGTTAATACTACGGCCGTTAATCTGACGGCCGTAGTATTAAGAACGCTGGAGCCCCGCAATTCAGTTCCCTGGGAGCCCCGCACTCGCAAACCGTATTATTAAACTGCTCGGCAAGCTCGCACGCAGCAGTTGGTACGCCTAATTCTGCCTTTATTACGATCTACAGTCAGTCTTAGTTTTTTTTTGTGGGGGGGGGGGAGGGGGTGACAGTGTCAAACCCAACTATTGGAATGTCATTTACCAGCTCCGTACTTGCTCCAGTACTATGCGGGCGGCCCGCGGGGCGAGCAACGCCTGCAAAACTTTAATTAATAATACGGCCGTTAATGTCCAGTAGTGTTCAGCCATCACCAAACAAGATGTCACCTCACAAGACCAAAACCTGGCAAGGGAAGAGAGGGTGACTAAGGTGCTCATCATTCACTCGGACCGAACATGTCTCCGCAAATCACACACAACTGAACCGAAAGGAGCGATTTTATTATTATTGTTATTGTTATTATTATTATTATTATTATTATTATTATTATTATTATTTCCTTATCGGATTTCCTCATTTCTTTTTCTTTATCCTCCCCTTCCTGTTGTTTTGGCTATTTCAGTTGTCCAGTTATTTTATTGGACATTGTGACCCCGTTCGGACTGCTCGCGATTATGTCTCGCGGAAATAGAATCTGCACTTGGCGTGTGTGAAGGCGCACCTCCGGGTTAATCAAGAAATTCGCAGTAGTGGATCGTGAATAGCTTGTCTGAAGCTCTAGGGCTGGGGTGCAAAAAATCTGATCTGTGGCAACGGTTGTAATGACACCGCTAATAACGCTTCCACTGGGGTGCAAATGATGGTATTTCTATTTAGTCTTATAATATTGATTGTGGAATTTTGCAACGCCCGACGCGATGCCACTCCTCCTCCTGTTCGGTGGCATGTGTGACACGGAACACGAAACAGTCCATTCGGCACAGGGAATTAAGTGAAGGTAACAAGAGATTTCGAATCCATTTTATAGATTTGTGCTGTCTCTTTCACAGATACATGATACAGGAGCTTGGGATACCTCCAGACCAGGCTATAGCAGGTAAGTTTGCTTTGTCTGAATGAATGTTTACTCACCTGTTTGTTTGTGGTTATTTGCGTACCAGTGTAGTGTGCTCTGTAGTGTGCAATGCTTGATGGAAAATATACTTCAGACCCAATTCAGATGGTGATTTTTCAGAGGTATTTGACTGATATGACTATTAATCATAAGAACCCTTTAGGAAATCCATAAAATTTTCTCTGCCCGCACAGATTTCAACAGCGCTCGAGGCCACGAGCAGGAGCGACAGAACTACTTGGCCAACCTCCGGCGGGCGTCCTGGCTCCAGGGCACACCCTCGACGCCCACGACGCCTTCCACGCCTTCCGCCGTCCGTAAGCCGGCGTCATCAGAGTAAGGAAGCGTCTTTGTTAAGCAAACGGGAGGGCGGAGGAGCCAGGGTAGGGAGCGAGGCTAGGCGCCGATGTTGGCTGCCCAGGTGTGCGTGGTGTGTGTCTGTGTGTTTGTGTTTGTACTGATTTTGGTTGTGGGACTGCAAAGCAACTTGCATGACGTTGCTGTTAAAATTATAGAATTGTGGATTTTTTTCTTTTCCTTTTTTTCTTGCTTGTTTGGGAAGTGTGAAATAGAAAAGAGATTTTCAGTAGCTGCAATTGCAGTTGATAGTTTTACCATTATGAACATGAATCTACATTCATGTATCCTTGGCCTAGATTAGAAAGCTGCAGATCTGTTCATTGTGTCTTGCAATTGATTTAATGTAACATGGCATTGGTTTATCTTATTGGCACTTTGCAAGATCTAACCCAGTCCTTTTTGCCAGCCAGCGAGGAAAGGAGCGACGCCGATACCCCGACCTCCGCGCCCCCCATCCGAAGGTGGAGCGGCCCCCAGCGGGAAGCGGGCGACGAGGGCTGGGCGCCGTGGAAGGGCGCCTCCCCTAAGACCCGCTACCGTAGCTCTCCGTACGCGAGACAGCCTTCACCCCATGGCGCCCGCCGCTACTACGACGAGCGGTACCAGGGCCGCGTGGCGCCGCAGTACGACCCCTACTTCTACCAGGAGCGGGGCTCGGGCGTGGGTCCGCACCGCTCCATGCCCCACTGGTCGCGGAAGCAACAGCAGGAGCAGGCCGCCAGTGTCCGGGGTCCTCCTCGGCAGTACCGCGGGCCGCGACCTTACCGAAGCCCCGTCAGGCAAGAAGAAGAGTTGCCTTTCAGGTCGGAAGGGCCGAATACTCCGAACGGCGCCCTCCTTGCTACGCCGCCCCCCCGACGGGACCAGTTCTCGTCGTTGCCTCGCACGCCGTACTGGCCCGGCGCTGCCGACGGGCCGAGACGCCGCGCCTTTAGCCCTGGCGCAGAGGACAACGTGTTCAGCCCCTTGACTCCGCGCAGGCGCTCGGCGAGATGGAATCCCTACTGACGCCCTTGACCCGCTTCCTGGCGTCTTTGACTCGCATCCTGACGTCTTTGACACTGGCTGACCTCGTCTTCTGACCTCTCTCGGACCTCCTTGCTGGTGCTTCGACGTGAAAGCCTTCGCTCACCTCTTTCTTTTAACTGCGCATCCAGTAGGGTGATTTATGTAAATTTCTTTGTGAATTTATAGTTGTTTTGAGATGTATTTATCCGATGTACATCATTTCATGTAACTGGCGTTTGAGTTGACTTTCGACATTTTTTTTGTGTGCGCGCTAAGTACTATTCTATTGGGTGTGTAAATATCAACGTAAAACGAGGGGGAATTCATGGTACGTGTTTGCTGAAACCTTGCCAGATTTTACAGGAAGATCGTCTTCCTAATCTTGATTTATATTAGAGAAACTGTGTTGAATGTAAGTTCAAAAATTATATTTTGCATATTAGCTTGTGTGAGAGTTACTTCTTTTTATTGTGTGTGTTTGTTTTTGGGCTTTGGTGATGAAATAAGGACCAGGTAAGATCTTTTGTAATATTGTGAATTCTTGTTATCTAGAGTATGTATTTTTGAATTATACGAATATGAAAAATGTACTTATAAACGTATTACTCGTAAATTATGATTGAGGTGTACTCATGTGTGGTTTTCTTCAAGTACAGACAGCATCGAGTATATGTAGACAAAGACTACTACTGACATGATAAGCAGTTCACCAGATTTTTATATCTAATATAAACACTTTCTTTTCGTTTTCCTGTCTTTTTTAACGAATTCACATATTATTTCAGTCTCTTTTCTTACACAGTTGTTTTTTTAACATTATTGTAAAATGAATACGTTGTATATCATAAACAGTATATTTATATGAAATGAAAGACATGTATTTGAAGTAAATAGTCTGTGTTATAGGTACTAATACGTAAATACCGTATTGTCTTTATATTTTTGTCACAGCCTTGTATGTTAGATTGTAAAAAAAAAATTATCAAGAAATTATGTTAGTTTTTTTTACCGATTTCTTTTTTTTTTCGTTTTCTTTTTTGTTGCGTGTGGAATTGGAACTTGGTCCAAGTGAAAAAGTGTAGTCTTCAAGACGCGTAAACTATCTTGATTAAAATACAATCTCTTCGACAATTCTGAAAAGAATGGTCTTTTATTCACATAAACAATTGAATATAAATGCAATCACCAATACACGAGACGCACAGAATAAGAGCTTTTTGCAGCGATGGTTATAAGTTCAAACAAAGGGGTTCTAGTAAGACCGCAATATATTTTTTGAATATAATGAAGCATTACGCCCAGCCCCTTGCTCGTTGTTGCCGGGAGGAGACTGAAGCCCAATGTGGAGATCACCCCTACCTTGGATCTCAGCCCTTGCCTATCTAATTTGGCTTCTCCCCCCCCCCCATCCCCTGTTCGTTGTTGCCGTTGGGGGGGGAGGGAGTCTTAGGAGGCGGAGACTGAGACCCAATGTGGGAATCGCCCCTGCCTTGGACCTCAGCCCTCGTCTCGACTAAGTTGCAAGGTCTTTTCTTCACCGTCTTTCTTTTTCCTTCTCTTCATCCCCTTCATCTGTCCACTTATCCAAATTGTTAACTAATGTTTACCCTTTTCGCCACAATATTTTACCATAATGTAGGTTCTTTGATCACTGACCATTCTTTAAATCCACAAAAATCGCCTTGTGAAGAAAAAAAAACTTTCATAACTGGAGACTTCAAGCCCCACCCTATTACTATATTTTGTATACGCCATTAATGACCTCCTTGGCTAACCCCATACTTTTTAACGAGCGTGTTGCAACGGGAACGTTTTCAGCAAAACTGAAGACAGCAAAAGTTGCCTCAATTCTCAAATCTGGTGCAAATGATAATCCCAAGAACTGTCAACCACTATTTTTTTCCGAAATATTCGAACTGTTAATGAAGAAACATCTGATGAAATATCTAGAAAACAAAAATATACCAAAATCCTCACAATCTGGCTTCAGATGTGACCACAATACCTTCCAAGGACTCACTGTATTTTCTCTTGACAACAATCCCTATTTGATGATTTTGCAAAGGCCTTTGACACAGTCAGTAATAAGATGAATGACATTCGGGTGTCGTTTATTTAACGATTCATGGACTACTTGACTGATAGAACTCAGATAACAGTTTACAAAGAAGATAGCTCTTCTAGCGCAATTACTCTTGGGGTTCCACAAGGCAGTGTCCTAGGTCCAGTTCTCTTCTTAATCAATATAAATGATATATCTGATATATTTACTAAATCTATCCTAGTTGATGATATGGCATTATATATAAGTGGTCCAAGCCCAGAACAACTGATTAACACTGTTAATCAAGAACTTTATAAACTGGTGTGTGTCTAATAGACTCACTATAAATACCGACAAAACTTACTAAACTAAACTAAACACAAGTAACTGTGAAGTCTAGAATAAGCTACATAAAGTGCTTTGGTGTTATCTTTGAGGAATCTATGACGTTTAAGATTCATATAAATAATCTTACCCAGTGAAATGGCATGCACATAAGCATGATTTGTGTAAACCACAGCTAAATCAAGCAGTGGAAACAGCTGCTCTCTCACGACGTTTCCAGTGGAAATGGTCCCTTAGTGCCTTGAGAACAAATTGTCAGCCAGAACGCCTCTTGCCTTCACTTCGTCACCGCTTCAGTGCTTGCTCCCAGAC